TAGCTCCTCAGTTATTCTTTCTCATTGGTGGTTTTCCTTTTACATTAGATGATTCTTGGCTGTCACTTCCTTCTTCCCCCTTCTCATAGCTGAGATTCCCTGCTTGTCTGATTATGTATACTGTTTCTGTATTGTGCAACTCGTTCTGATATTTTGCAAAAGAGGCAGAGCATTGCATTCTAAAGAGAGGGCAAATCAGTAGGGCCACCAGTATAAAGCTCCTGCTTGTAATAAATCTCTTGAATAATATATGGTCTCTGAGCTGGCACCAGAATGCTCATATCCATGAGCCCAATTTCTCTGCTTAGACACTCCTTCCTTGCAACCTTCCTCCTCTCTGATTCCTCATGGTGACTCAGAGTTCCTGATTTCAAAATATCAGAGGAGAGTTCTGCAGTTCTGATCAGCAGGCGAAACAATTGATCTTTTCCTTTATATGCTTCACTTACTGCCCATTATGAAGAGACAGAAATGGGAATGGGTATACAGGAAACTTACCCTTGACATATAAAAGTATACCCTGAGATGATTTCCAAAAAGTGAGGACTCTTATTAAATAGACTAATTTTTTTTTCCTTTTAGAGTTAAGCTGCATCCAGTTCTTGTAGGTATGTATACATTGGCCTTCTCTGACTCCCTGATACAGGTTTTAATTCTGGACGACTTCTCAAAACCTCTTTCCACTGGTATCCTCATGTGTCTGAGTGATTAGGAACATTGGCTCTAGAGGCAGATCATTTTGGACTTAAATCTCAGGTCTTCCTTTAACTCATTATATAGCCTTGTGGAGGTCACTAACCATTCTTTGCTTCAGTCCTCTCATCTGTTAATTGGAAAAGAAAATATGTCAGTGACTACCACACAGGGTTTTTGTGAAGATGAAGTACGAAAATGCATGCAAACCACTTAAAACTGATTAGAGTATGACAATTGCCATGGAAATGTAGATGCCATTTTTATTTTTTATGTAAGACAAAGAAGGAGGTTAAAAATCATATATTGTCATCTAAATAAAATGCCAAATGGTTTTAAATACAATAAAACTTTTATTTTTATTGAGAAAATCTAAAATTAAAAATATACATAAAACATGATAAGTAATACTTTACTAACCTGACAACCTTCACTATGCCTAGTTGTGAAAATCTAAATGATATCCATGATATTTAGAAACAAAACACACATACATGCTCTGCCCTTTAGTACTCAATGGTTATAGAACTTGTGGCTATTACTATAAGATATTGAACGCAAGTAGGAATACAGTTTCCATAAGAAATAACAACTAGAAAACTCAAGAAAATTAACTGTAACCACTTAACATTAGTAAGAATTCAGTAGAGTGTGCGGATACTAAAAGTAATCAACAAGAAAATATAATGAGAAAAAATTAAAAGTCATCCAAAAACAGTAAAAGCATTGCAAAATCCAAAATATTAAGGAAAAAATTACATCTAGAAACATAAAGGCAATTTTAATAAGTCTTTAAATGAATCTTGCAAAGATTTTGAGGCAGCTTGGTAACTTTTAGAGGCAACATATCTCAGTGGTGAGAGAGCCCCAGATTTCTGAAGACAGATGGACTGAGGTCAAAACTCAGTTCCAACTAACCACTGAGTGATTGTAGCAAATTACATAACATATTATGCCACTTGGATGCTCTGCAAAAAAATGGTGATAATAATAGCACGTGCTTCATAAGGCTGTCATACGATTTAAGCTAATGAGTTACATCAGTCAACTCAGTGCCTGGCAGAAAGCAGACACTCAAAGAGATGTAGCTACAAGTTGTTTGTTTGTTTGTTTGTTTGTTTTCTTGTTTTTTTCGTTATGATTGCCATTGATGTTGTTGCACCAGTTATTCCAGACTTCATGTGTAGGTCCTAAACTATCCTATGCAAAACTCCTACAAGACTTTTCAAGATATAGTACTGAAAATTTTACTAAATATTTCATGAGATGTTCACTGAAATCTCAAAATTACTGACTACACCGTAGTTAGTTGAAAATCAAATAAAAATTTAAATAAAAATAAATTAAATATGTCTCTGTACAGAGATTTATAATTGTATATTTACAAAACAGAATTTAAAAATAGATGTGAAGCTAGGAAAAATATTTGCAGCCCAATATGATAGATAAAAAATTAAGTTTCTTCATGACGGTCTCAAATATTGATCAATTTATGCTATATCTGAATGTAAAAAAATAATTTACACAAGTAACTGGAAAGTACATTCAGTTGTATCAGTTTTACTAACAAGCAAAGAAATGAAAATCAGTAAGCAATGCTGTTTCCTTCCTTACGAATTTATTGATGATGATGATGACGATGATAAGAAGGTGAAGAAGAATCAATGCAGAAGATGGTGTGATAGCACAGAGCCATTCATCTCCTACTTCTATGAATGAATAGTAAAGCAATATTAAATTTCACAATATATGGCAGGTAGTTTTAAATGTTCATTCTGTTAATTTCACTTCTGAGACTCAATCAGAAACATAGACAACAAATGTACAAAAATAGGAAATAAAACATTACTTACAAAAGTACAATAATTTAGTCCAAGCATGGTGGCTCACACCTGTAATCCCTGCACTTTGGGAGACTGGGGTGAGCAGATCACCTAAGGTCAGGAGTTTGAGGCCAGCCTGGCCAACATGATGAAACCCCATCTCTACTAAAAATACGAAAATTAGATGGGCATGGTGGCATACACCTGTAGTCTCAGCTACTCAGGAGGCTGAGGCGGGAGAATCACTTGAACTCGGGAGATGGAGGTTGCAGTTAGCCAAGATGGGCAACAAAGTGAGACTCCATCTCAAAAATAAATAAATAAATAAATAAATAAAATTTTTTTTTAAAGTACAATAATTTAAATATTGGGATGTGGTTAAGCAAATTATGGTTTATTCATATTATGAGCTCTCATTGAACTTTTAAGTTGGTATTTCTATAGTTAAAAATGCTTTGGTCCTATTTTTGTTATAAAAATAAGGTATATTATTACATAATACGATCTCAAATATATAAATATTGCATAAAACAACTAAATATATTAATTAGACCTTTTCTGATGTTATTTTATATATTTTTAAATTTTTTTCCTTTATGTGTATTTTCATACATTTTTAAGTGTAGAAAAAAATAAAATACTATCTTAACCATTTTTAAGTGTATATTCAGTAGTGTTGAGTATATTCACATTATGATGCAACATACTTCCAGAAATTTTTATTTTGCAAAACTGAGACTCTACATGCATTGAACAACTCCCCAGTACTGCCTCCCTGTAGCCCCTGAAAAATCACATTTTATTTTCAGTCTGTATGAATTTGACTAATTTGGAGAGCTCATATTAGTGAAATAATACAGTATTTGATTTTTTGTGACTGGAATGTTTTACTAAAAATAATGTCCTCAAGGTTCATCCATGTTGTAGAATGTGACAGATTACCTTCCTGTTTTAAGATTGGGTAAGATTCCATTTCTTATTTTGTTTTTCCATTAATACCCTGATGGACATTTGGGTTTTGCCTCTATAAACAAGGGCATGCAGATATCTCTTCAAGACCCTGCTTTCAATTCTCTTGGATATATACCCAGAAGTAAAATGACTAGATCATGCTGTGATTCTATTTTTAATTTTTGGAAGAACTGTCATAGTATTCCATAGCAGTTGCACCATTTTACAAGCCAACTAACAGCACACAAGGGTTCCAGTTTCTCCACATACTCACCAACATTTGGTAGTTTCTGGTTTCTGCTTTGCTTTCCTCATAAGTTTGAGGTAATACCTCATTGTGGTTTTGATTTACATTTAATGATTTTTCAAGTTATCTTTTCATGTGGTTGCTGGCTCCTTTATGTATGTTTGAACTTGTCAAAATGTTTGGAATTAACATGGACTACTTTTATATCATATAAACATAATTGGTATCAGTTTTATGATATAGCAAGAGTAAAGAAGCTTCCTTCTTCTGGTCCCTCAAATCCCCATCTGTGAAATGAGGAGGACAGACTAGCTAATAATCCCATCTGTGACTTTTTAATAAAGGAAATAGTTCCTGATTCCTATCAGTGTTGTAAAGATAGTACTTACAATTTCTTAAATTTTGGAGTTATTCTGAAAGGAACGGTGGGTGGGTAAATTAACAATTTGGTGGTGAATTTTCAGCATATACTCTTTTATTTAATATTTCTAGAGCTCCAACTTTGTGGTAGACATTGAACCAGGGGCTCAGAATACAAACATAATGCAGTCTGGATTTTGCCTTAAGTTGCAAGTCTATTTGGGGAGGCAGACTTGTACGTAAATAATTACAATAAGACTTGAAGTTGATATAGTACATGTATAAATAAGGTTTATTGGTGCTGAAAAGGAGAGGACATCTGCTTCTAAGTTGCTAAAAATATGAAGATTCATCTAATAGTCAGAAAAGGGTCATAATGGTTTTCCCCCAGACCTTGTTGTTTACAAAATCTGTGACATTTAAACTTAGTGAGAAGAAATTTAATATTCACTAGCAAAGGCAAAGCAGAATGTCCATGAGCATTTACCCATTATGTTTTCTTTTAAACTAAGAAATGGCTAACCTGTTTTCTATTCAATCAAATGGTATTTTAGAAATTGTGGTCTACACAAAGGATGTCTCTTGCTGGGCAGGGTAATATAATACATTCTGTGTGGAGTAGGAAGCTTTAATGATATATGCAGTTTTGTTATTAAAACTGAGTTATATATTTTGCTCTGCTCTGGAAAATTGTGACCTAGTATAACATATCTTCACATTGTTTATAACTTGAGGAAAATCAACATTTTGGGTTCCCAGTTCACACAGTAGGAATTACATTTGTTTTGGCCAAATATAATTTATATAACTGCAAGGAACAATAAAACATGAACTCTACAGTGTTTTCTTACCTAAAAATAATATAGACCTTGTAAAATGGAAAAGATTATTATTATAAAGAAGACAGTAACTTAAAAGGCTGAAGCTCATTTTACAATACTTTTTAATGCTTGTGCAAATAGGCAGACACCTGTGTCCCCATTTTTCTTGACCCCAGCCCCAGGAGTGAGATTCCACACAGTAATAAATAACCTTGCAAGTAAAACTTTGAAATAGAATTTGCTTGATCAAGCCGAGTCCTTCCATGTTCAAAAGTCATTTTCTATGTGACTTCTTAAAATGATTCAGTACTCTTTATTGCTCCGCCTACAAAGATTTTTTTTGTAGGTGATAAAAGTATCTGGTCCATCTTATTAATATAAGAACCCCATAGTGAAGGGGCCATTATGGATTTAATTTAAAAGTTGAAAATGAAATGAATGAATGAATGAATAAATGGGTATTTCTCATTAAAGTCAACTAGCCTATTCAGGAATTGACTGTATTACTTCATTATCAAAATAAAACTATGATGCCATTCTCAAAGATATGTGAATGACAAAATGAGAAAAATATTCAAATTTGTTTTTATGAAATATATGCGAGTCACATTGAATGCATATTATAAACGTATTGAATGCATAATATTAAATTGCTGATTGCAAAATCAATCACACAACTAGAAAAAATAGTAACATTTTGGGGACAAGTACTTTGTTCAAGGAACTAGTCCGTTGTATCCTATGTAATACTCTAAAGTCTAAACAATTCTATGAAGTTGGCAAAATCATCACAATTTTACATGTGAAGAAGCAAAGGCTCATAAATCTTTTGTGATGTGTTCCAAACCACATGGCCAAGTGACTAGTAGAGTTGACCCCAAACTATGAGTCTTATGATTCTACATACCATGCTCTTTCTACTGTACCACTTGATAATTTACTGGGTGAAAACTACAGGCTAGTATCAGTCACAGCATAATCAGATGGCTGATGGGTCTATGATTCCTACTAGACAACCCCTATCTACTCTTGCTAGTCTTAATTTTCCTCAGTTCAAAACCTTTTCACACACAAATCAGGATTCTTCTTCCTAAGATTTTAAATTTTGCTAATTCCAGTACAATTTTCGACATGTTATTTTAAACCCTATTATCTATTTTAAAATGGAATTTAAATTGCACTCAATATTATTAGTGTTTGTACCTGTATTAATTTTTCTACAGCAATCCATTTTTAATCCTTATTTAGAGAGACATTCCTAAGGCATCCTAAATGATGCCGACTTGCTTCTCAAGAGCAGACGTGAGTCTATTTTACTTTGAAAAAGTCTGTAGCTTCTCCAGGCGTTGAATCATCTGGCTTGGGGCCAGACACTAGAGGGTGCTTTAGAAATATTATTTGATGATGAACTCGGATGTTAGCCACTTGCTTTTCAGAATTCATTCCTGTAAATCATGGCTTTGAAAACTTGTCAGTATTTTGCTTTTTCTTTTGTGGATTTCTTCAAAGGGAGAAGGAATGTCTGAAAAGTAAATATTCAACAGTCATAACTACATCCCAAGGAGGGTAGAATAAAAAATATTATAGAAATGTATAGATATATAAATATTTCTGTGAGATAAAAAGAGAACCCTGTGGATAACTCACAAAGAGCCTACTGGAACTTTCTCAGTCGGCAGGGCTTTGTCAAAAGAAAGTGGGTTTGTGAAGGGACAGGAGAACACGTGTTTCTCCCCATTCCAAACCCTCCTTTCCTGGAAGCTTGCTGTAAACACTCACATTTGTATGAGACATTTTTTTTTTAAGAGGTGCTTTTACATATATTACCTTAAGGGATATTTACAACAACCTATGTGGTGAGCATTACTATTTTTATTCTACAGATAAAATAAAACAAAAACAAATGACAGGTTTAGTGACAATAATTAACTCACGTAGATCCAGAAAGCAAATTAACAGAAAAAGAATTTAATTATAGGACTTTATTCTACAATGTGCAGCAACCCCATCCTTCCCTCATATATGGTTGATATAACTCTATTAATTCATTTTCACTTTCAGATTTTGTCACCAATTGTGTCCTTCCCTTTTTATTCTTTTATTTTATCTTTAATGTCCCTAAAACTTAAAAAAATAAATAAGTAAAATAAAACACACAAAGAAGAAAAACCAGAGGTCATGAAATATGAAAATTTCATGCTTCCCCTGACCTCAAAAAACTAAGTTAAAATCTTCCATTTTAACTTAGCATAACCAACTACTGGAGCAAAAAAAAAAAAAAAATCCTCTGAAGACTTAAATTTTGAACTCAGCAGTTCACAATTTTTTAAGGCTTATCTGCTCACATATGCTGTGTTTGAATAACTGAACATTCATTGCATCCAACTCTTGTCGCTGAAACAGAACTCTAAGTGAAGCACAGCTGAGGCACAAAGTGTGCTCTCAGATTCCAGAGGAGTCAAAGCTCTCACTGAGAAGATTAGAAAAGGCTTAATGGGTGCAGCACACCAACATGGCACATGTATATTTATGTAACAAACCTGCATGTTGTGCACATGTACCCTAGAACTTAAAGTATAATAATAAAAAAAAAGTGAGGGATAAATAAAGGCTGTGTGACAAACAGAAAAAAGGAAAGAAAGAAAAGAAAAGGCTTCGTAAAAGAAGGGGAAACAATTCTTTATTCTAGGCCTTAAATGACAATAGGATTTCAAAAGAACACTTGAAGCTTTGGAAATAGGAAAGCCCCCAAGTCAGTGAAACTCAGAATATATGCAGAAAACAATGAATATTTAACTTATTGGAGACTCGCTTGCCTGAGGAAACTATGGGGAGAACAGCCTGGCAAGCGAGCTTTGAACTGTGCATTAGAGCAGATCTGTCTCAGAGCTTTCTGAGCCAGTGGAAATACCAGCGTCCTTCACCAATAGTAGCAATGGGCCATATGTGGCTGTAGGGCACTTGAAAGGTGATTGGTTTGAATAAAAAACTGAAAGTTTAATTTAATTTTAATATTAATGTAAAAGCCAGATGTGGCTAGGGGCTACCATTTTGGACAGTGCCAATCAAGAGAGATTTGAATTACAGAGTGACAGGTTAGTACAGGATTGTAGATCTACCCACAGGAAGCAGACACTGACTGACTGAAGAAGAGAGATGAACTGAGATAATTTGGAGAGGCCAAGGTAAGAAAAGTATAAGATAGATGAATTGGAAGTTGGTATCAAAGAAGATATTAAGGTTGTAACTGATAAATTTGTGAACTGCTGAGTTTAAAATGCAACTTAAGCTCATTTAGCTTGTATGACAAATGTTTGTTCTCCATCAAATTTATGAATTTTTCCAATGTCAAAATGATGTCCATTCTTTCATCTCTCAGTCAACATCCAGAACCCAGCATCATGCCTTACACAAATATATGTTGTGCATGTGATATTGTCTTACAAACTCAACCATAGCTCTGCGTTAATGTTATTAGATATTGTGTTAATGTTAAATATTGATGTTAAATGTTAATATTAGATATTTAATGTTAAATATCTAAGATGGATGAAAGTGACAAGAGTTGGATGTAGTGAATATTCATTTAAACACAACATATGTCAGCAGGTAAGGCTTAAAAAAGTATTTTTTTTTCTGTATGTGTGTAAATGTGTGTGTGAGTGTGTGTGTGAGTGTGCAGGTGTGTACTGGTTTATTCTCCCTCAAATTTTTATCTCCAAAGCACTTGTAATGAAAATACATCATCTATATTATTTTAAACCCATAAGAAACAATGTTCTTTTTTCAGCTTCATTAGATTCTTAATTATGGATAAAATATTCTGTAAAGTTAGCCAGTGTCCACTCCTTCATTCTATAAGCTAAAACGATTGTTAAAACAAAAACAGAAAATTTGACTTCTCCAACTGTAAGGCTTGGGATCAAAATATCAAAATCACAAGTAAAATCTCACATTAAACTTGGTAAACCAACAAAATTATTTTCCTACAGTATTTTGCATAAGAGCAAAGAAAAAGAATAAAACAACAGCAGCAACAGCAACGCAACTTCTCATCTCCAACACAACCATTCTAATCACTAATATCTTTGTATCCACAAATGGACTCATCACTTGGGTGACTTCTCAAATAAATCTTAAATTGTTTTTGGCTCAGTAAATCCTCATATGAAGACGTTCTGGGGATGACTAGGCACCAAATAGCCTTCCATAAAATGTGTTATGGGCCAATATTCACTCTGACCTGGCTTCTCTTCTATATGCTCATATGACATGGGCAAATGCACAGGCAGAGTATCAGGAAAAAACATCAAGAAGTTAGTTTTTCCTTCACATTCATTCAAATGATGCCTGGGCTAACCATGTTTGATGAAGACAGAGTGAATTTATCCAGTTCTCCAGGCAAGGGCTATGTGTATTCTCTCTCTCTAAAAGTCTCATTTTGGAGAATCCTCAATTCATCAGTAACTCCTGCAGCTATTGCTGAAACCTTCCCCCTCCTTTATTTAAACCTGAAAAGAAAGTAAAGCCCAGCTGGTGAGGGTTATTGGGTTATCTGGAAGACAAGACTATGGAGATTTGTATTCTTATGCATTCTTTGTCTCACAACAATGGAAATCCTTGAACTTCCAGAGATACTATGTTCTAGCATCTTAATCCTCTTAAAAACTCATTTGCGTTATCTAACACTTACTTGAAATGTTGGGAGCAGAACTTTGGAAAGGGTTTTAGGTCTGGATCTTCCATTTTAACTTTATTGTGTTTTTAAGACTCATTTTTGAGTTTTCTTACACACACATACTGATCCCACATTTTTCTACATATATATTTAAATATGGGCAAATAGCTGTATAAACTCAGGAAAATAAAGCAGTTATTGATATTAGTATATTAATTAATGAATTATCCCTTCATTCACAGAATCCTAAAATCTTAAAATTAAAATTGACCTTAAAGGAAGCTACCTTAAACCATTCTTACAAACTACTGTACTACTACAAGTATTGAATGCCTGGGATCAGAAATGGGAAGAATGCTTCCTTTTTCATGTTTTGTTCCTTCTATTTTGTTTCCAAATGTCCAAGTAGCCAAGTCTCTGGTATGTATCAGAGGAACAGTCAATTTTCAGAGTGAAGTCAAGTGAAAAGTATGCAGATGGCAGTGTAAATGTTAGGAAAGTTTGGGGAAAAATATGCCAACTATGTGCTGTTTTGTTACAGTAACTATAGAACCGTCTCTCCAATGCCACGGACAAGACCCTTGCCAAATGGAATACCCTATTTATAACCCTATTGGGAAGAGGAAATGGTGCCAGGAACAAGATAAAACTATTATCTGTATTAAGAAAAATACTTAAAAGCATGTTTGTATTTGAAAATAAATGTTAGTGGTTAAGAAAAATAATAATGGTAGTTGTAGATCTGGGTGTTGAAACCTGTTGCAAGGCTATTAATTAGTCATCATCTTATCTTCACTGCCATGTCTCTGCCAACTTACCTGTTTGAAGTCATAAATGGAGCTCATAAATGGGCTGTTTGGGAGATATGTGGAAAATAAACAATTTCCCCCACTGGGTAAATAGTTAAGAAATCTCCCTGGGCTCATATGTTTTCCTCCTGTTGGCACTGTTGACTCAGTGCCCATGTGGGATGTACTCCCAAACTGTGCTGCTGCTGGCAATGTTTCCAGTGCCAAGTATTTAGCCTGCAGTCCCAGAGGCAATGAAAAAATAGCTAAGTCCAAGGGAGTGCCATGAGCATATGGACCCTGGTCACAAAAGTGTCACACTGGGAGGGGCTTGGACATATGCCACAGGCTGCATCAGGACTTATGCCATGGGCTGCCACCCCAAATAATTCCCTCTTCCCCAGGACCCAGAGGAACAGCTTGTTGAATAAACAAGAGACTGAGAGAGTGGTTGAACTGGCACCAGGCCAGCGTCCCTTGCCTTCCCCACTGAATCAATGAAAACTTGGCATATACTACATTTTCAAGGAGCAGGGAAGCATGAAGGCATAATCTCTTTGTCCCTCCTGTGCTTTGTCACTTCATCTTTTCTCCACCTACTTATCTGACTTGGTAGAATACAAACACTTGATATCATTTGGAATAAGACGAAATAAGGGTTGATTCCTGGCTCTTTTGCTAGCTCTGTGCCCCTAAAAGAAAAACAAAAAAGAATATTTAACTAATAAAAGCCTCAATTTCTTTTCAGTGAATGGTACCTACCTTGCTGGTTTGTGGAAAGGTTTAAAAAGGTGATATATAAAGTGCTTTGCACTGTTTCTAGCACATGATAGACAATAAATGTGAACTTGCGTATGACCAGATGCACACATTAAACTCTGGACAGTCCAGTTAATTACTCCATAATATTATTATTTAATGATCAAATTTATTTATTGAGTTATATTGTAATATAGACTATTGTCCTATAAGTATATACTTATTAAAATAATCTAATTTTTAACCCTGTATCAAAATTTCTGATAATTCTGTTATGCACAATTATTAAAGACATAA